GAGTGTCCCTGACATGAGACAGCAGGCTGAGAGTAAGTGACAGAGGGGTCAGAAAAACAGAAGTGGTGATGCAGCAGCAAGAAAACCAACACCTAGTTCACTCAGACTTACCTAGAAGGGTTTTGGTTGGGTTTTTTCCCTTTTTTTTTCTACAGGGGTGCAACCATTTAAAGCTAAAGTCTGAAACAAGTCAGAGCTACTTCACACACATCCAGTGCAGAAAGCACTCCTCTTAACACCCCAGTGTGTGTTTAGACTAGTATTTTATTAGAAAGGGGAAAATGGAGAGACAAGGAGGGAAGCTAATGGCCCCCTGGATGGAAGAGACCCCATTAAGACCCCCTGCTGTATAAAGTGTTGAAACTGTGCTGGGATGAGGGCTTCCTGAGCTGCTTCTATTAATACAACAAAAATAAATGGGGTTTTGTATGGATGGTCTCAAAGGGCTGGATAGTCTTAGAGCAGAGGATTTCAAGCCTTTGTTAACAGTAAGGACAGTATATGCTACTGGGCTTAGCCATCTGTGGTATAAATGCACACCCCACTCACCCCAGTGCTGGGGTTAAGGAGAATTCATCTTTCTTCCTTCTGTGGACTGGGGTTGTTGAGCTGCACTTGCCTGTCCCACACTTCTGCTGCTGTCATTGGCATCTCTTTTTAATCACCTACTTCTGCCTTTTCCTTTGCTCACAGCTCCGCTCCGTTCTCTTTTCTTCTTCATTGCCTCCCCTTGCTCTCCTCTCCTCCAGTAGTTTTCACCTTGATGTTGACACTGTTGCCACAGAATATCCAGACAAAGCCAGCATTCATATAAAAAAATAAAATAAAATAAATTTAGGTAGCTTGGTGAGTCCCAGCAAAATTCTTAAGTACCAGGCAGACCCTGAGACACCAAGAACCCAGAAGAGAGATGGGGCATTTGCTTTGCAGCATTTGGAATTTTGCAACAGTTCTCATGAATTGAATGCCAATTTTCTCCTACTGGTTCGTGACCCAAGCATTGTAAGGAAAACAATGACTGTCGCTGGTGTCAGTGTGTGTTCCTGGTCCATAACCTGAATGTCAAAGCAACAGAGTTATGGGATAAAAGGCAAAATGGCACAGCTGACTGAAATTTCCTAAAGGGCAACAGACAAAAGTATCAGAATAAAAGGAGACTTTCTTCACCATTTCAGAAAAATTCTGATCAAAACTAGCAAAAGAGAAAATCACAGATTTGTGGGTGACACACTGAATTTTTTCTGTGTCTCATACTGTGTGTCTGAGCACACAGTATTTACTGACAAGATATTAAAAGGAACCTCTGGTCTCCCCTGACTCCTCTTTTGAGCCGGTTCTTTCTGTTCGGGCTCTGGAAGCAGAATCCATCCCAGAAAAAGCCTTCTCAGCAATGGAACTGAGGTGGGCCTTTCATTGCCAGGATATTTTTCCTTATTCTACTGATAAATTTCAATGCACAACCAAAACTAACTTCACTTCTTGACCTCAGCACAGCCTGGCCAGCTCAGCATACCACGAACATGAGATGGACACGTTGAACAAACTCTGTGTTTAAAACATTTCCTTTTGTTCTTTAACCCCCAACCACAAAAAGCAGCGTATACAAAAGTCAGAGAGATGTGGGACAAAAGGAAGATGGTATCTTCTGAGCCTGTTAGCCCACAAAGCCTGGGCATTCTTCTCCTCCCTGAAAGGACATCATTCCCACATGGGGTCAGGACCAACTGTTGGGTCAAGCCTAATCACACATCGACTTGCCAGCTGTTCCCTCTGATGTGACAACTGATTTTAAGCAATCTGCCTTTACACCCCTTCCCCCTCATCCCTCACAGATGCCTGTCATCTTCACAGTTTCATGCCAGAATGGAGGGAGACATTTGCTGTGTCTCTGCTGTTCAGGGAAAGCCCTTCCCACACTAAATTTTAGGACTGAGTCCAGACACCATGGCACAAGCCAGGTCCATGCTCAGCTGCCTCCCAGTCCCTCCCTCTTCACAGCTCATGCCATTAGTGGCTCATCTCAGGGAACAAGCCATGCCAGGCCTCTGTATTTCTGAAGGATGTGGTGGCAATGGGAGGATAATGATGTCTGAAGATGAATGCAGCCATCATTTCTGCTTCATCACAGCCCCCAGGAGAGTGCGCAGAGAATTGATCTCCAGAAGACAGGCTTGGGACAAAAGAGTGGGGAGAGGGCTGGTGTGAGGGGTTAGTGAGTGAGGAGAGGGTGGTTTTTTAGCTAAGATTCTCCTAAAGACGTTAAAGATAATTCCTCACCCTGCCAAATCTTTCCATAGGTGCTGTAAACCATAGCCCAGTTGCTTCAGTAAGGAAGGCAAGGCTGTGTCATGGCCAACAGCTCAATTAATTACCACGGGTTCTTTGTAAATCACAAATGCTTAGCTTTTTCCTCAACCAATATTCATTGAAAGCATTTTTCCATGTCTGTGGTCTACTGCAAGCTCATAGAAGTTGTACTATGGGTGCGCTTCAGGATCTGTGGTTCGTTTGAGTGCTTTCACAGATTTCTTTAATCTGTCCGAAATTGCAGGTTTCAAGTAACCTTTAGTATTTGAGCCAGACGCCTCCAATTAACTCTGCTCCCGTAGCTGAACGTACCAGGGAGGCCCAAGGCATTAAAATGAGTTGCAAGCAGAAACCTACCCAGAATAAATATAATTACAACCTAAGCTTTATTGTTCACAACGGCCTGACCTCCAGATGGTAACTCGCACAATTAAAGGGCTTTTATTTTTTCCAGAAAACAGACAAGGGGGGGAAAAATGAGAAGAAAATGAAAAGCCACACACAGTGCCTCCCTCAGTTTCCCTCCAGCAACCCAGAACTGCTGCTTAGTGCCAGGCTGTCCATGTTCTCCTGTATTTGGGAGTCATGGTCCCTGTGAGACATCCAGGAGTCAGGGGTGTGAGGTGGCATCACCCCAAAGGCTGAACCAGACGAGTGAGTGGCTGCTGGTTGGGGTCTGGAGCTCCTGTGCTCCCCAGGGGAGCACTCCTGCTGCTCCTGTAGGGCTTGGGATTTGGGATAGCATTCCCCAGCTCAGCTGTCAGCAGCCTGGCGTGCCCAGCGCCTGTCTGGGTCAAGGACACGCTGTTCTTGTCTGCTGCTGCCACTGCTGGGGAGATAAACACTGTGCTGACCAAGGGCTTATCACTTTCCACAGCCAGGCTGCTCCCTGCCTGCCTGGAAATCGGGACACCTGCCTCTGGGTCGAGCCCAGCGGGTCTGGAGAGACAAAAGCTTTCTGTGGGCACCCAGCAAGGGCTGATATTGGAGGGGGAGACCTAGAAATGGCAGAGTTTTAGCAAAAACGTGTTTCAAAGCCAGGCTGGGCTCATCTGGCTGTGGTTTGTGTGAGCATACAGCAGCTCTGGGCAGCTGGGCTGAGCCAGCCCTCCAGCTCCAAGGTGAAATTCAAAAGAGGAGACTTGGAAAAAAGAAGAAAACAATCTGGCAAGAGGAACTGCAGGAATTAAATGCTTAAGTAAAAACTGCATATTTTGTTGCTTTGTCTCTGCACTATTGTGCCCTCCCTTTCAGTTAAATTGGGAACTGCTTATCATAGCAATACCCAGCACTGGCATCACAGCCTGGGATGGAAGTGCAGCCTTTGCATTACCTTTGTAAGTTAGATGGTGGAAGTGGCAAGAGCAAAAAATTAGTAGACATACAATTTCTTTTCCTCTTTTTCTTTTCTTCCACTCGCATTTTGACCACTTCGTGTCAGTTGGATGACACTTATAGAACAAGACTCTTTTCCTTCACACTCTATAAGGAAAAAAAAACACCATAGACACACAGATCAAGTCTTCTGCCATTGTCTGAACCAAGAGCACTGGTTCTCCTTTTTAACTTAAAGCAGAAACGTAACTTCCAATGAAAAACACTGAAATTACAGTCCTGCAGATGAAAGTCTTTGTATACCCACAGAAGAGTTATGTCATGAGGAAAGCTGCACCCACCATAGAAGTATTTGTTCTTGCTCCAGACTGACCTGATTTGCAGCTTTGCCTCAACAATGAGGGTCATTTCTCTGTGCTCATTTATTTGCTGAGGCAACTTTCAAGGGTACCACATGCATAAGAATAGTTACTTTCTCTCTCCCATTGTAGGCAGATGTCCTGTGAGATTTTTGCCAGCTATACAGACCGAGCAAGAGGAGAAGCCTGGAAAAGCCATCATCTGAGCTGTGCATGAACCATACCTATCCTTTACCCCCTGGAAGGAGAATTGCACACTTACTGCTGCCTTCACTGATCCAAGCCCTGATGTCAGCACTGTGTGCATGTGAATCCAGGATGGAACAAGCCCAGGAAGGAGAAAATTCCTGAAATTCTGTATTGTGCTCTGTAAGCCCCACATAATTAAGTGTAGCTATGTGTCACCTAGGGTTCCCTGGAAGGAGCCACATCCCAATCTTCCATCAGGTTTTGGGGGGGCCCCACCACACACAGCTGCCAAGGAGGGAGGCAACAGGCCGTCCTGCTGGCTGCTGAGCAGCTCAGCAGCTCTTCTCCTGTCCCAGCTCTCATGACTTTGCCTCCAGTATTGTGGCAGTGAAACATCTGCTCAAGGAGGGTGGGCTGGAGCTGAAGCTTCTCTGGTTCTCCTGCACCACTTCTCTCCACTTTTGCACAGTCCTGTGGCAGGTACTGAAGCACAATGCACAGTCAAGACCATAGCACCTGTATCTACTTCCCTGCCTCTTGTAAATCTCTCTCCCTCCATGCCCAATCTCCTTCTCCAGCCCCTCAGTTTCTCAGCCTTTCCCTTCCCAGCACAGCTGGCTGTTCCCAGTGGAAACACTAGAAATGTTTTGACTGAAAACCCAAAAGGAATAATCAGTGTGGGCAATTTCGGTTCAAACTGTTCACTTCTGGCAAAGTTGAGATGTAGATGAAAAAAGTCCTGTGATGGAAAGAGCCAAGGAAGCAGCCAGAGGCTGAATTCTGCCTGTTATGGGGAGGAGAGCTGAACTCTGCTGGCTGGGACTGATGGGGATAGGCCACATATGGCATGTACCAGCTCCAGCACAGCAGATCAGAGTTGGAGAGAGGGGAAGGAAGAGATTTCACCCCCTGAGATGCTCTCAGAGCTACCCATGATCCTTATGAACTGACAGGCATCAGCCACCAACTCTCAGAGAGCAAAGGAGAGATCCCAGTGCTCATGGCAGCTCTTCCAGGAAAAAGGAAATACATTCAGACTATGTGGTGGGGTTGTCTCTATTCCTTCTGTCTTTCTTCTTCCCTGCTGCCCTTTCCTTTCCAAGTTTAGACACCTGCAGCTGCCAGTTCAGGTTGTGCAGGAAACAGTTTTGTTGCCTCTGACTGGAGATGGCAAATCCTGTTTGCCCAGTGCCCCTCAGTCTGGGGAGAGAGGAATAAAGGGACAACTTAGGAGAGATCAGGGCAAGCGCTGCCCAGCTCAGGGTATTGCTCTGGCTGGGGAAACTTACCTCACTTGCACAGCCCTGTTAGCAGAAACATCCCCTCAGGAGACACTTGCAGAGGAGACAACAAGCCCGCAGCTGCAGCCATGCTGATGTGGGTGGTGCTGTGAATCCTTCAGGGGAGGTTCTGCTTCCCAGCTTCCCACTGTAGCAACCTGCAAGAGTTTGGTGCCCAGACCTGGACCAAAACAGCAGCAACAGTGAACTCATAAACTCCATATTTAAATAGCCCAAAGGCTGCTTCTGCTGATGCCAGTATTTCTCCTCTGACACAGGCTCAAGGCTCAAGCTCTGATACCATCTTAGACACATCAGTGCTAAGCAGTGTCACTTACCCTAGAAGGCAAAAGATACCAATAGCCCAATAATTGCCCTTTTGTGTTTATAACAACTGAAAACTACATTTAAAAGTAAAAAACACACACTTACTTGCATGCAACAAAATTACTTATTTCTGGTCATAGAATGATAGAATGGTTTGGGTTGGAAAGGACCTTAAAGATCATCCAGTTCCAACCCCCCCTGCCTTTGGCAGGGGCACCTTTCACTAGACCAGGTTGCTCAAAGCCCTATCCAACCCTGCCTTGAACATCTCCAGGGAAGTGTCATCTTGTGTCCTTAAGAGAGAAGCCGGGATCATGGAGGCAACTGTTTCAAAACTGCAGGACAAATTTTCAGCCGTCTGAACATTTTTGAAATGTCAGAGGGAAAAAGGAGACAGACGAAATCCAAAGCCACTTAGGGAAAGCTAAAATGCTTGGTAGGAAGCTGTGGTTGTTGGCTCAGCGGTCCTGCAATGCCACATTATCTGCCCTGAGCCCACTCCGTTTTCAGGCGAGGAGCCTGTGTGCAGACACTGACTCTGGGAGCAGCAGTTTGCTGCCAAGCAGAAACTTTCCTCTTTCCAAGCCAGAAATTGCCTGTTTTCTCAAGGCAAAAAAGTGATACCCCAGCTCACCAAGGAGCCTGACCATCCGCAGGAGGTGGGAACAGCTGAGCTTCATCTGGCACCAGAGGAGGCTACAGCTTTGTCCTTGCAAGCATCTGTCATTGCGTGGAGTTGGGTGAAAAACCAGCAGAAAAGATAAAAAGAGAGGGAATTAGCTCAGAAAAAGATGACTAAACTCATGCAGCCAAGAGTTACTGTTCACTGGAATGAATTTGGCAGGCCCACCATTGTTTTTTATCATTTTCTGGCGATCATAAAGAGAAGCTTGTCATGCTCTGCAAAGCCAGTCTCTGGAAGACTAGCAGATGAAGAATTTAACTTCTTGACTCAGACTTTGATGAGGAGATGTGCTGAGCCATATTTTTTGGCCGAAGGAGCACTGATTCATGGAGATGGGAAAAGAAAAAGAAAGGGATGGCTCTGGAGCTAAAGCTGCGGGTGCTGAGATGGAGCTGGCATGGCAGGCTGACCTGGGTGGCAGTCACAGGTTGCAAAGGGCTGTACTGTCCTCCCATGTCAGTGCAGATCAAAATCTGGACCAGTCCCTCGTGGTGGCTGTGCACAAGACTTGGTCTGACAAAGCCTTTTGGAGCCAGTGAGTGTTACCACGTTGCGAACACACAGCCTCCCTCAGACCTTCCTGAGTGCTGAGCACCCTCTGCCCCTTTGTGCCCTGAAGGTGTTTTAGCAATAGTTGGCAGGTTTGCCCCTGTCAGATATATAGACAGAGACGTAGGTAGGTAGGTATGCATATTTATTTATTTGCATACATATGTGAACAAAGTAATCTCATTCAAACTCCTCAAATTCGTGCCCAGACTTGGCAGGGCTTTCCCGTGACAGCAGCAGCTGTCTGGCCCACCACCCTGCACCCCCAGGGGCCAGGTTATTTGTGAGGGGCTTTTCAGTGTAACACCATGGTGGAGTGCCATCTGCTGGGCTTGTGCAGGGCTCTTCTGGCACAGGAGAGGAAGAAAGCGAAGAGAAACCCCGGAGCAATAGGCTGTGCCTGTGCTTGGCCATTAAACTTCCCTGAGAGCCTTCCCCAGGCAGCTGCCAGGGAGCAGCCACAGCCAGGCTGGTTCACCCTGCAACTTGGCATGGCCTCTGCAAAACGCCTGATGGAAACACCCACTGACTCCCACCAACTCCCAAACCACACGGGAGAATTTCTGGGGAGAATCCCAGTGGATCAAGACCAAAAGCAGCACCCTGATGGTGTGGATGTATCAGCAGCAGGGATGTACCAGCAGCAGCCAGTGCCTAGGGATATCCCCTAGTACTAATCAACTCGTTAGCATGGATATTTTCTTTGTGTGATGTGCATGTGATAGACCAGGCCAGTTCCAAGGAGGAGGAGGAAGATGAGCAGATTTCGTATCTTGCAATCTTTACTATCTTGTGAAGCAGCTTTGAACCCTACCTGGAGGTATTTGCTTCCATCCATCAGCTACTCAGGGAGTTTGCACCCCCCCCAGATGTACAGGCACTCCAGTTGACTCTCTGAAGGAGGCTGTGTGAATCTCTCATGCTCAAAATCTCTAAAGGGAAAAATCACCTCTCTTTGAGCCATTCCTGCCTGCTGCATCTTCTCTGATTCATCACAGATGGTGGAAGTTACTTGATTCACAGTTGCATTATGTTAACCCACCTCTGATTACAGTGTGAATGAGGAATACAAAAGGAGGAGGGAAAGAAGCAGGAGAGGGCTGGAAGCAAACTGCGAATTAAAGGCAAATCACAAGGTTGGTTTGGGGCTATTGTGTGAATGGGGGTGGCTCAATTTTTTGCCATGCTGGTAAATTGAGAGACATACCATAGTGCCAAAGACCAAAGATCTTCAGGATACGAGCTAGTAAGATCCATGCATTTCTGTGCAGCTGCAGAGTGTTTCTGTCCCACCACTAAGGATCCTGGGAACCAAAGGAAAAATATATGGGGACAAACTTTGTTAAGAGCTCTCAGATAATGGTTATGAAAGGACTGAGTCTAAATCCATAAATGCTTTGCCAGCATTCAGTAACCACTAATTCTAGTTTCCTCAGCGAAATACGTCAAAACTAAGCTTCCTCTTCATCCATCAATCATCTCCCAAAAGCAGGAAAAGAGACCTTGATAGTAAGGAATGGTTAAACTGAACAAGCAAAAAGTAACATGTCCTTCAAAAGAAAGCACATACTTTCCTGGCTGTAGGGTTTTATTCATGTCCTTCCAGCCCACTCCAAACACAAACTTATCACCCTCTTTTTATGTGCCAAATCAATAACAGCTTGTGCGGGGATTGCGGAATGCTGCATCTGAAAGCCTCTCACACACTTTGCTGGAGTAAAGGGCTGATAATAATTAATAGCTGCCAAGGACATTCAGCCTTGCTGAGTGGTTGTTAGCATGGTTTTTTTCCCTGGACACAGCTTAGAGTGAGCCTTCCCAATTTTCCTGGACAGTATCTGCAGAACAGGAGGTTTCTCAGCATTTTTGTGCGTATTCCCTGGCAGAAGGTAAAGAGAACATCCCATGAAGCCCTTGGATTGAAAACCTTGCTGAGGACTGAGTCTTAACCTCTTCTAAAATCTCTTCCCTAGCTGCACTAGGAAGGCACAGCTTTCCCACCCGTAAGGACATCCGGGCTTTGGTAGGTGAAGTAGCTCTGGCCGGACTTTCAGGTCACAGGGGAGTATTAAAACACTGCGTGCCGGAGGCTGAAGGTTTTGTTCCAGACTGTTTCTGCCTCTTGCTCTCGTTATTCAGCTGCTCTGATGGGGTTAGAATCCTTAGGAATTATGCCTGGATCGTAAGCTGCCTTTATTTTGCAGTCATTCTGGAGCTGATCCTAAAAGCGATGCTTTTGGGAGCAACAAGTCTAATAACATCACTCAACACAGTAGCTAAAGGAAGCAAGAGAGCTGAAGGGAAGGGTTCAGCTCCTGGCTCTGCAGCTGGCTTTTGTCAGCTCCTCTCAGACCAGAGGAGGCAACTTTCTGAAGCCTCCCCATTTTTAATTTTTTTTTCCTTGGGCCATCTGGAGGCAGGAGAGCTGCAGGGCCAGAGGGCACCAAGCACCTCAAAGGCAGCGGTCTCACAAGAGGAAGGGGGAGCTGGCAGGCAGCCAGGAAAATAAATGACCCTGTCTCCAAATGCCTCGCAGGTAAACCTGGGTTCTTTAACATTTCTCGGCAGGCAGGTGTTTTCACTTCATCACTTCAGCTTCAGTTGCTGCTTCAATTTTTCATCGGAAGTGCTTGTAACAGCACGGGACACACCTCGACAGGATGCAGTGGGGAGCAATGAACCAGCAGCTGCCATTTTCCCTGTGGCTTTCTCCCTTTAATAAAGGCAGGGGTGCCCTTTTGAAGGTGCCGGTGCTTGTGCTTGGGCAGCTGGAGCAAAGACCTTCAAACAGGTTGCACTCCTTGGTTTTCCCAGAGTTGTGTGGTCAACCCCAGGCTCTAGGATCAAGATAAGGGATCAGACCAAGTTCTGGCTAAGTGTGATCAATGGGAAACACATGCCCAGCAGCCAGAGGATGTTGGCAGGCTGCAACAACTCTAGTCCCGGGATGAGTTACTGGGAGAGAGAGCTGCTTATAGCAGGGCCCGGTCTAGTTCTTATTCCCAGCAGTCAGGGAGACCAAAAATGCAGTCTAAACAAATGCAATTTATTCCATTAGCAGACATCAGAGAAGCTACCTGCCTTGACAAAACCCAGCAATGTTTCTAATTAAGCAGGGATGGCTCAGAGACTCTATTCAAGACACTGTGGCTGCAATCCCAAATCCCCACAACAAATTACCTGCACTTCTCACTGTTAACAGATGTACCTGTTTATCTAACATTGTTGGTCAAACGCTGGAGCACATCCTCACACAGAAGTGTTATTGTAGCTGCCACCTGAGATTTGTTTGATCAGGGCTTATGGGTTTTGGTCCGTGGATATAAGAGTCCGCTTACAGCCTGAAGGGCAGGAGTTTCTTTTTAAGGGTAAACAAAGAGAGGTCAGCTGGAGTTTAGGCTTCCCTCTCCTCATATCTCTTTGCTGTTCGTGGCACCAGCACCTAAAGAGACTTTACTTTGCTCCTGGCTCACTGGCAGGAGTGAAGGAAAGCCATAGGGACACAGGTGCTCCTGCAAATTGGCTAAGGCAGGTATTTAATCCACGGCTGCAAACGAAAGTTGCTTTACCTTAGCAGGATCAGCCTGGTTGTTTGTGCTATAACTGAAGCACTGATACATAATAGGCAGGCTGGTGTTAAACCAGCTCATGTGGGTATGAGCCACAGCAGAGCCACGGCAACAGAGCTCATTGCCAAGCCCCCTGGAGACCTCAGGTCCTGCTGCCCAGGTCCCACCACACCGTGCTGTGGACCTTGCTCTTGGTTTTCCTCCTGAGCAATAAGGACATTAAAAATGCCATATTTCTCTACTGGCTGCTTTTTGAAACCCTTCTCCTGGTTCCCATCTAGCTGCCACAGCCATGAGTGGCAGTTCCAGGGAAGTGGCATCCGGCCACTGACAGAAGTCTGACCTTCTCTCTCACATGGGCAGTGGCAGAGGGCAATTGCTCTGTGAGAGGGAGTGAAGGAGGAGTAAAAGGAAAGTAAATCCTCATCTGCTTGGTCTCAGATGGATAATACTGTGAGACAGTAAACTGACATGCCCAGGGACCCAAAACACAGCTTGGGCCTGGGTGGCACCTCATCGGCAAGAGACATTGTGACAGCACGTTTCCTTTCTGCTTAGTTTTAAAAATAAGCACGCTTACCCACTGCAGCAGTGGCCACTCAGGGTTCACTTGCTTCCCAGCTGTCCAGTTTCACCCTTGCTGGCAGGCCAGAGGGATAATCCTGCTGTTGTCTGTCCTGCCAGTACTTCACCTCCTGATGTGGTGGAGCATCTTGCCTGTCCCTTGTGCCCTGTGCTGCTGCACAAGAGGGAGGAGGGTCCTTGGAGTGCTGTGACCCTTCCACAGGAGCCCAGAGCGAAGAGAGGAGCAAGTGCTTTGCCAGAATCCCTGCCTGAGGCAGGGTCCCTTGGGCTCCGTGCAAAAAGTATCCTGTGAGTTGTGAGGTGGCTATTTCCACCTTTGGCTGTAGGGGTGGATGGATTGGAGCAGCCTCCCTGCAGGGCTGAGCCCTGCATCCCTGCTCCATGGCTTCTCACAGAGGGAAAGGAGGAGGGACTGGCTGCTGCTTGCTGGGCCAAGGACAGGCACACAGGCAGCATGGATGGCTTGGGAAGAGACGTGTACCAGCAGACCTGGGTTTCTGCATCTCTGTACAACAGGGAAAACATTCACCTATTCACAGCTGGAAACCCAGAGGTGCAAGGAATTTGGAGCTGAAGGGGGGCTGAGGAGGAAAGGACAGAGCAGCAGGGACATGGACTGGCTCTTGGGAAAGGAGGCAGAGCAGGCAGGGGCAGCTCCTCATCGGAGCAAGGTCTGGTGTGAGTGAAAGTGCTGACTGGAGGGGACTGGGAACACAGGATGGACAAGGACAGAGGGGATGCTGGATGAGGAGTGGAAATGGTAAGTGGGGCAGAGTGAGGGACTTTAGGCAAAGGCTGGGGTCAGAAGAGGAGTGCTGGGTGCAAGGAAGGACAAAGAAGGCGAAAGAAGATGCGCAATGGGGACGAGGGAAGGCACTGGGGAAAATAAGCCTTACTCTTATAAAGAATGTACCTTGGGGGTTTTTTGGGGTTGTTTTTTTTTTTCTGTTAAAGCTTCTTTAATTTTAATTGCAACTATTCAGTTTTTCTCCTAGCTTTCTCTGCTCATTCTTTCCCTCCTGGTCTTTGACCCTCCATTGGTAATTCCCCTTCAGTGTTTGCTAATTTTCTGTCTCTTGCCCTGCCAGTGCAACTGTCATCGCATGCACTGTGCTGTGTCCTCTGTGAAAGGATGTAGAGATAGCAAACTGTATGTACAATACAAAGGCTGCTCTTACCTCTGCTCTGGCAAACAGCTCAGACTCCCTGCCTGCAATTATCCTTTTGGTTCTTCTCTCTGTCCTCTTCTTGTTCCTTCAGGCTTGGTTTTCCCATGTGTTTTCTGCAGTCTGGCTTCTTGCCAGCTTTGCTTCCCCACCTGGAGCTGGGTCTTTCCCTATTTGTGCCGTGGGTATCACTTGCAGCACTTCTCCCCCTAGCCCAGACCAGCCTTGCTGAGGCAGCTGGAAGGGAGAGTGTAACAGGGAGGACGTGAAAGAGCATCTACTGCAGATCTCTGCGGTCATGGCCAGGGTCAGAGAGCCAAACGTTTATGGTTTGTGCGGGGGTGTTATGTAAATAACAGCAATTATTCATTGTCAAAACCTCACATCTGAGCCAAAACTCAACCATTTTTGCTGGACTCTTCACAAAGGCTGCTACTTCCAAAGGCTCACTTGCAGCCAGACTTCAGCCTTCCTCTCACAGCTGTAGAACTACGTTACTACTATTAAAGAAGTCACAGTTATAGTGAACTTGCCACATTATCTTCTTCTGCAACGGGAGATGTGGCTATACTGACTATGGTCTCAAAAAATCATATTCTCTTCCTTTTGTGAATCTGTGCATTTATGAGTTCTTCAGCTTTTTGCAAAGTGGCAACAGTGGCCTGAAAGTGCATGAGCACAACAGAGCATCACTTCTGGTGTGTTCAGTGTGTTTGAAGGACTCCCACTGAAGCGAACAGGAGCAACTTCCCATGAACTCAGCAGGTTTTAGAGCCTCTTGCACTGAGGTGTGTCAGCCTCTGTGTACTGCTCATCCTTTTGTTTATGAAATCTTGTGTGGATGAGAAACTGTATTTTGACTACAAAGGAGGAAGTGGCCAAACTGTTTAAGTTGTTTCAATGGAGACAGACACTTGGCTTACACAAAGACAGCCTCATTTTCTTCCTTTCCACTAGAGATTTGGAAATGGTATTGGGTGTCCCAAAAGGCAGTGAAACCCGTGTATGGAAGTAATTAGGTCAATAGAGCAAGCAACAAATACTTCAAAGGGTGACAGAAAGCCATCAGGATGGCTTCTGATGGCCCTTCACTTACCCCAAGTGTAAGGTAGAGGGTGGAGTTCTTTTGCTATACCTAGATCCCCAAGAAAATCCCTCAGTAATCCCCATCCATACACCCCTTGCAGGAATGCTCCTCCATCCTCCTTCTGCCATCACATGCAGAGTAATCCTCCTTTTCCTGCGTCACCCATTCGGTGATCCTTCTTACTCTGCAAGATCACATGCGTTGCACAGAGAGACCTCCCTCTCACACTCACAGGGTAAGCACTGAGCTGCGTGGAAAAAACCCTCCCCTTCTCCTACACATTGCAAAGAAAGCCTCCTTCCCCCCCCCACCACCACAGGAGTTTAGATCCCCTTTCTTTCACCTTGATGCCACAATACCACTCTTTCTCTGAGTGGTACCAGCTGTTAAGGTGGTGTTTATTTACTTTTCCAGATAGCTTTTGCCACTCGTTCCTCTTTGCTGTGATAACCTTTCCCACCCACCCTCCTGCTCCTCCGAGGCCGTGAGCAAGGCAACACCACGTTCTTCTTCTGTGGTATGGTGCTGAAAGAACAGAACAGGGCTAGGTTACCCTGCCAGCTCCCCCGTGTACTCGTGCCCTTGCAGCACACAGAAAAAGCATTGTGTTGCAAACCAGTGTGCTGCTTACTCACAAGGGAAGCCTGTGCTAGCTTGTAGCCTCAGGTAAAGAGCTGCATTCTTTCAGTGTGAGAAACAGAGGGCGAAATCAAGAAAAATAACCTGCAAAATCGCCTCCCTCAGCACATAAAATCCCAAAACATCAGGACTCACAGATCCTCTTGCTCCTGTGTCACAAACCCCACTGTAGCCAGAACGACTCCTGAGCACCCAAGCTGACCAGAGCAGAGTAAGTGGCCTCAAAAGCTGCAGATTTCTATATTATTGTCATCTTGTGACTACAAGGGAGCTGAAAAATTTGAATGCAGATGGTAAGACCCAAAAGTGATGGTGACTTGCCTATCTTTGCCTTCCTCTCCCCAACACCTGTACAAGAGCCTTTCTGTGCCTCTCCCAAGGCAGCCTCTCTCTTGCTTGGTGGAGATGACTTAATCCAGAAAGGGTGATGAGAAGGAGAAAGATTTAAATCAAACCTGATTATTGGACTGATAGGCTTCCCTGGCAAGCTGTTCTGGGATGGACCCAAAAGTTGTCAGCTCACTGCCTGCTCCTCTGACAATGCTGTTTGGAGTGCTCAGGAGCTTTATGAAATGCAGCCATCCTCCCAAAGCTCTTCTCAGCTCCAAAAATCAGCCTCTCCTCCCCCCTGTCGAAGGGCAGGTGTGCACTGAGGGTCACCAGGAGGCTGAGCAGTGGGTGGCTCTGAACTAGTCCTTTTGGCTACTGGTGGGCAAACAGATGGAGAAACAGGCCCGTGAGTGCTTTGTCTGGATTCTTGAGGTGGCATCCTCTTGCTGTGGCTTTGGGAGTAATCCACCTAAGAAATTACTCTGGCCTGGCTGTGAGATAATCCTGCCAAACCATCGCATGTGCTCAGCCCCCATTCCTCAGATGCTGAGGCTCGTGATGGCCACCAGGACCTCAGGGCTGGCACCAGGCAGGATCCAACCTGTAGCCATTCCTCATCCTGAAGAGTGGGGAGGCACATGCCAGCCTGAGGCTTGGAATGATAAGAAGGTGCCTTCACATCAATGGCAGTGGCCATCACAGGCACCAGCCTCCAAGGCGGGCACGTGCCTCCTGGTAGAGGCAGGAAGCAAATCCCTAACTCTGGAGCTCAAAAAGTTTATGGGAAGTGTGGTAGGAGAGGGTTGTGACTGTAGCAGACACCTGAGCTCGATGGTTGTGGAGATCTCATCCAGTCCTATGCAGGGAAAGAGAGGAAAAGATAACAGGCACGATGTGAATGGTGGAGGGACAAGTCCAGGGGAGCTGCAGTGTGGTGCAGTGGTGAAGCTTTCTGTCCCAGACCAAGCTACAGCAAGGCAAACACCGGCCAACACTTGAGACCTTCAGGAGTCTCAAGGCCACTAAAAGTGATGAAGAAACATTTCAGAAGCTATTTTGAAATGAGCCGATTACACCCTTTTTCTTCCTTGATTCAATCATAAATGCAACTATTAAATCAGATTGGGTTATAAATAATAATAATAAAAAAAATGGGCTAAAGCAGCATGAGTGACTTATTCTATTAAAAAATAGAGAGTAATAGAGTAAAGCTGTAATAATAAAATAAAAATGTTGACTAATATCTGTGAAAAACTTGGAGGGCCATAGAGAGAATGAGCTATTGTGTTTTGTGGCGGGTGGGGTGCTGGTGAAGTGTTTGTGGTTAGGACAAAGACACCGAATTTTGCAAGCAGAGCCGATGAGTTTCAGGGTTTGCTTTCTGCAGACTCCCTGCACCAGTGAGGAAATTGCTCATGTTCAAGAAAGGCAGACTTATTGAACTCAGCACAGTCGCTTTTGAGGGTCTTTTTTTCTCCTCTTTCTTTCTTCCCCTTCCACTGCCCGGTGCCATTGGCAAAACAAATTTTAATATTGCAAAAAGAAAAGCAGTGACAAAGAGCTCCTTGTTTTCAAGTTGTATCAAACCTGTTACTGCAAACCCAACACCACTTACCATTTTACCTTGCTGAGCTGGCTCTGTGGATGGGAGCTGGTGGGACCTGGCTGAGGAAAGGCTGCGTCTGTGAAAATTTCAGTGAAGTAAAAGTTCAAAGGAGGAGAAGCAAATGGGAGATAAGAGTCTTCATTTAAAAGGAAAAGAAAATCTGATTAAGATGTGCTGGCTAACTCAAAACATATGAGCCTGAACATCAAAAGGTTCATACTTCGTACACGTGCTGTAGATAATTATCAGTTTAACTCGATACTTCCTACAGCGACAGAACTGACGTCAGTGACCGACTTTCAAACCAGCCTCTGACATTGAGCGAGGGCCCTGCTGCTGACATGCCACTCCTTTCGCCACCCCTTACATCCCCTGAGTGCATGTGCACCCCAAAAAGTCTGCTTGGACCCCCTCCTGGCTGCCCGAAGTCTGAGCGAGACCCCGGAGAGACGGAGAGAGGAGGTGAGTGGCTCCCAGGCAGCTCCTGCTGCAAAGGACCTCTTGTAGATCCCCTGTCCTGCAGCATGTAGTGAAAGGACAATGACAGAAAACCTAATTTAAACAGGGCTCCTGAGACTCTGTCAAAACATGACCTAGAAAACAAATGTCAGGCTCTGCTTCCTCCAGTCCACTGCAGCCTGTGAATGGCTGCAAAAATTGAAGCTGCCAACCAGTGAGGCACGTGAGGCAGCTGGTGGCCCATTCCTGCCCCAGCTCTCCTTGCCCTGCTTGGCCAAGAGCTGCTGGGATGGTGCAGGCAGGGACAGGGTCAGGGGCACCAGGAGCCACACACACAGCCTGTTTCTGCCTCATGGCCAACTGCAGTTCCATGTCACAGTTTGGCCGCAGGAGCTAATCTTGAAACTCTCTGCATATTTCCGAAGCCAGAAGGTTAGGGCAGAAGGCAGGTAATGAATCCCAGATTTTCCAAGAGAGTCATGTGTAGCATGAGCACAAGAATAATGTGACTTCGGGGAATGGCAAAGCAAAGCATTTTCCTTCCACATCCAAGAGACTTCTGTGCAGTACCAAGCTCTCCCCAAGAGCTGAAATGACCTTCTGTCTGCCTGTCCACGGGAGAGAGAGACAGACAGAGACAGGGCGTAGGCAAGGGAGAGGTCATGTTTTTGTTAGAGGGGAAAAAAATCAAAAGCCTGCTGGTGAAATAGTCCTAATCCCTATGGCTCTTTGTATGGTAGAGCTGGGAGTTTTCTGTCTCTCTCTCCCCCCATGCATAGCCCCATGACAGTTTTCTTTCACGAAGTGCTCTGTTTGCTTCATCCACAACCCCAAGACCACCTTCTCTACATTCTTTTTTAATTTAAGGATTTTATTGCTTTGAGAGAGAAGGGGGAAACTCTAACAATTACAGCTAAGTTCCCCACTGAGCACTCTGTCATTACCCCATCCCCGTGGAATATGCTTTTTTTTTCATGTACTTAATCATTTATTTGATGGACAGCCAGCTGCATGTGAGGCTTCAAGTTCTATAAAGAATGAAGCCCAACCTGCAAGAAACTCTGGTAAGTCAAATGTTTACAGTAAGCACAGCAATCCACCAAAAGTCCTTC